CTATGATCTTTTAGACAAGAGGGCGACCTCTAAAACGAACTATACTCAATGACCGTGTACGAAGGCAACCAAGTGGGGTGTACCCTAGGAGTGCACATGTGTGAATGTGTCGTTTTCAGTTATTTTCATCTTTATACATGTTAAGGATGATCTAATTTGATTTTAGGTTAAAACATTCAGTCTTGTCATGCAACCCTATTATCAAAAATCTAACAGTTATAATTTGCAGAAATAAAATGCGGAATTTAAATTACAAGGCGTCGGGTATTTACATCGCCAAAGACAAACCCTTTGAAAAATAAAATAAAGCGATAAAAATAGTAAAATGTCCTATTTAACTATTACAATCCAGAGGCAGGTACATTAATATGATAAAATAAATACAACGTGCGGGAAATTAGATCGAGTGTGAAATTTAGGGTTTTGACCCTTATGGTTAAAGAAAATATCTTTTTTTTTGGTTTTTTGTTGTTTTTATTTAAGGAAAAGAAATTAAACCTAAATTAATTACTAAGTTAATTATAAAATAAATTAATTAATGAAGAAAATAAATTAATGATATATTTTTGGATTTTTGTTATTTTAAGAAAGAAAATAAAATTAATTAAATTAATAATTAAATTAATAATTAAAACCTAATTAAAACTAATCAATTTAATTATTTACAAAAAATAAGTTAGAGTTTTCTAGAATTAGAACCTAAATTAATTGGTTAGTAATTATTAATGAAATGAAATTTTAAAATTTGATTGGATAAAAAGAAATATTTTTTGTGATTTTTATTGGATAAAAAAGAATTTTGATTGGTTAGAAAATCAATAAAATAAAAATAAAGTAAATAAAATAACTAAATAAAATATAAAGGGAATGAGGAATTGGGCCTGTTTGGAGGTGTAAGGAGCAATTTGAAGGCCCATTAGCAGGTGGCCTTTGTGCACTTTTTGGATCTGATGCTCATGCGTTGACTGGCGCCTTGGTGGACCTCCAATCATGGACCCTCATATTTGGCCTTTGGCTATCTGGCGCTTGGATGGGTGAGGATGTATGGTGTACTGCAAGCCAGCGTATGCATGTGATAACCTGAAAACCAAAATTATTGAGAAAGTGGGGGACCTAGGATTCGAACCCATGTCCTGAAGGAGAATGCATTACATGTTTGCCACTACACCACGCTGCTTCATTTGTTATATTAACACAAATCAATAATAATATAATAAAAACAAGAATTATTGGTCAGAAAAAAATAAAACGCGCCAAGATTTGAAATGGCCAGTGGACGGAGGACACCTCATCGTCCCTGTCCTCAGACCTGTAAAAAAATACCTGTGGATTTGAATCCGCAGCTAAAAGCGCAGGTCTATTCTAAAATTCTCTCCAGGCTATATAAATCCATTCCAAGAACATGGTTCAATTCGTCATGGCCTCCTGATCAAAACCATGTTCTTCTTGAGTCTCAATTTTACCTGAAACAAAAGTCCCTAAAAACAACAACAAAACCCTAGCCATGGCATTTTGTAAAACAAGTCATATGAATGAAATTAAATGATGAAGAAAGTTTGGAAATGTTCTTGTGATTATGAATGTGCCATTAGTTTTCTCAAATGATGCAAGAACATGTCAAATCGAATTCAAGAACAGGGTTGTGTTACGTGAGACTTACAGTGCATTTGGAAGCCTGAGGATGCATGGTTTTGATCGAGTTAGCTTGTATGAACGTCCAGGAATCGATTGGGACAGGTCTTGATCCTTGAAAACGCCTTTAACCTGGATTTTGATCTCTCACTTTTTTGAGATTTTTTGCACTTTTGTTCTGCCTCTTCCAACACATGCCAACCCCTATTTCATGTTCTTTAGCTTCCTTATGTATTGTGCTTTGCATTAGGGTAAGAATCATGGTCTAAATCTCTCCATATCAATGCACATGAATTGGATTTGATTCCACCATTAAAACTTTCCAAATTTGATTCATTTCAATCTTTTTGCACATTATTTGATTTGATACGAATTTGATGGTGATGCTAGCTGTGAACAAAGCCTAAAACAACCAGAAAATCATGAGTTATTAATTCTTTGGATTTTATATGATTTTACTTGATTAAAAATGAATAAATTCAAATAAAATCAAATTAAATAATAAAAATGAGATATGGGCACATGGCTGGAGCTAGGGAACGTGGGCAACTATGCAAACTCAAATCAAGTGAAAAAGAATGGGGCCATTTGACAAAATTTGAAGTTTTGGGGATAGTTGACTTTTGGCAATTTTGCAAAAAATTCCAACTTCAACAATGCACAACTTCTTCAATTTTGAACTTTTGGAAGTGTTATTAGACTTTTTAGAAAGCTGGAGATGTCCTCTAACCAACCCTTTAGGTATCATATCAATTTGACATTCCATTCTCAAGTTATAAGCTTTGTCAAAAAAGGTGTTTTTGTTGACTTTCAAAAATGACCTATCACTACAAGAAAATTAGTGTTTAACGACACAAAAATTGCGACAGTTATGTGATAACTGTCGTAATTGACATATAGAGACAGTGTTTACGACAGTTGACACCAATCGTCCCTAATATTTATTTTGCGACGGTATATTTAACCATCATAATATTATTATTACGACGGTAAAACAACCGTCGGCCCCCATTTAACACTTTTAACATTGATTTTTCACCAACAACTAGTCACGACGGTAAAATTAACCGTCCTAAAAGGCATATCACGACGGTAAAGCACCCGTCGCACCCTTAAACCTTTCACGACGGTAAAATTATCCGTCCTAAAATTCATTTCACGACGGTAAAACAACCGTCGCACCCAAAACCTTTAAAAATTCTCATGGGCACGACGGTAAAACACCCGTCGCCGTAAAAAAGTTAAAAAAAGCTGAGTTGTACCGCAATTTGATTTTCGGGGCATACGAGAAAAGAGAACTATGCCAATCCCCAATCACCAACTGAAAGAGAAACAAAACTTCCCTATTCTCTAAAGCTTGCCACCCCGTGGAAGGTCATCTAATGTTGTGGCGGCCTTGAGCTCTTCTTCTTTCCGGTGGCCGGGTTAGCACCCCTCTAAGCCCCTGTACCCGAAACAGATGCGGTTTAGCAGGGGCTTGCCAGGTATTTCCTGGGGTTTTCCATCCGGGCTTTAATGCGGCTAGAGACGGATCCAACGAATAGCTAAGGTTCGTTGACGATCCCTGGCTACAGCTTTGGAGGTTGTTGAACACTGTCACTAAAACATGGAGAATCCTGAAAATCATCTCAATAATGACGATATCACTGAAAAGTAAGCTTTATTTTCATCACAATACATAATTAGGTCAACCAATTAGAACTCTGTAAGATTAGGTTACGTCATTCAACATTCAATTTATTTATTTATCAATCTGTTTTCAGAGAAGCATCTCAGCTTGCTGCGTTGTTGAAAGAAATGAAGGAAGGTCTTGATAATGTTAACCGCAAAATTCAAACTTTAACTGCCAAGGTCGGAATGCGCTTTTTTTTTTGGACTTTTGGTTCTGTTATTGGTGAGTTTCATTATTTGTGTGTCTCTTATATCAGGTGAAAGCTCAGAGTTCTACGGCAGATGGATTCAGTTATCTCGAAGCTAAAAATTTGCTGCTTTTGAATTATTGTCAATCCCTTGTTTATTATCTATTGCGAAAGGCTAAGGGATATTCTATAGAAGAACATCCTGTTGTTCGAAGTATAGTTGAGATAAGATTATTTTTAGAAAAGGTCTGTTTTATTCTTGTGTATCATCTTTGTATATTTGTGTTAGACTTGGTGTATCTGACATACAGTTTTTTGCTGCAGATTCGTCCAATTGATAAGAAACAGCAATACCAGATCCAGAAAGTTATTAAAGCGAGTGAAAGTGCAACAAGTAATGCCAATGAGAAGGTGCCGGCTGCATCTGATAAGAGTAAGGACGTTTCAAAGTATCGTCCAATTCCTGGCAATCTTATTAGTAAAATAGAACCAACCGCACAAGTGAGTTTATTTAATAATATCGTTGAAAATTTGAGGTGCGATAGTATGATGCAAAATATATTTGTCTTCTGTTTCTCTAACTTAATTCATTTATGTTATAGGATGATGATGGTGACGATGTGTATCGTCCTCCTAGAATTGCTCCTACTTCTATGGATATGGATAAATCTTCGAAGCAAGAAAGAAATGCCATCCGAAGAGATAGAGAAATTCTGAAACAGGCTAAGCAAAGTGATTTTATCAGAACAATGGTGAATGATATGGAGGGGAGACCTGAAGAGGTGATATAATTATTGTATTTTGGCGAAATTATTAGTGTATTTTGGGCGTGGAATCATAACAACTTAATGTGTTTATGTAATGGTTCGTGTTTGCTGCTTACTACACAGATACGAGATTTTATGGGAACTAGTAGAGAAGTGGATAAGTATGTTAGCAAAGCGGATGAGCGGTCTAGGCAAGAGGAGGAACTATTCACCCGTGTTCCTATGACGAAACAGGAGAGGAAGAAAGAGAAGCACATGAAGAAAGCAACCAATGGGTACGGGGAATGCCTGATATTTTGCCTTTATAAAAAGCATCAAATGCACGATGACACTTTTACTTATTTTTTACTCACACTTACATCTGTGTTTATTTTTTCCAGGATACAAGGCCTAACAGAAAGTTTATTTGATGAAATCAAAGGTTTACCCTTTGAAGATGATACTGGTGAGCAAACAATGGGCTTCAAAATGGGTAGTAGAAGAAATGGGAAGCACGGGAAGCTGAAGAAGCGAAAGGCATGTCTCTTTGATTTTGATCCTTTTAAATTGTTGCATGAAAACATTAATAATAATACACTTTTTAAACATTGAATCGGTACATTTATTTCCGTTTAACTTTGGTGGATGTGGTTTGTGCTCTGTTGCATCTGAATTGCGGATAACAGACTTAATCATTTGATAATCACCTTCTAGAAACTTATTTTCATCATCATCATTTTCGAACGAATTTGTTGCGATTAAGATGCCATTAACACCGAGTCCAACTCCGACTCACAAGAAGGTGAATTTTCTTGTGACTTCACGTTCTGTTGATGCTGCTCCAATTGTGGATAGTGATAGTAACAATCTAGGGAATTTGACCACAAGAGGAAAATCGTCGAGTGCTAGAAGTATTATGCCGAAATTGAACTTTCCGTATAATAGGACTTCATCATCTGATGTTGAAAAGGCGATAAGTTTGGCTCCGGAAAGTCCTTGTGAGAAGCCTTCTGTCTCTGGATCAGGATCAGTGTCTTTGAGTAAGCTGTTTGCTCCTAAGATTTATAGAACTTCTTCGCTACCGGTTGAAGAAATCGGGCGTGTTAATAATGAGTTTGCTTTTGGTGGATGTCTTGGTGCTTCTCCATATGTAAGGCTTTTAACTTATAATATCAATTTTGAAATAGTGGTTATTTTGTCTTTTGATTAACTTGTTAAGTCCTATTTTGATGAACAGTTTAATTAAATGTGTTTGTGTGAATGAGCATGCTTTCCACTTTCTAGTCCTAATTCTTATATTCTTTAGTGGTTGCCAAATCTTGCATGTATATCCTTTGTTTTAACCAATTTGATCCTTTTGCAGAGAAGCCAGGGATCGATAGCTCGTACTCGTTCAGAGCCGGTAGATAGCAAAGAAAAAATCATAAGGAAAATGGATAAGTTTTTCCGCATTATTCCTTCCACCCCAGGTGCAAAGGAAGTTAAAGAATGGTTAAAAGCTTCTGCAGAAAAGGATACAGGTATTAAGTCTAACAATACAAAAGCTGATTGATACATTTTCATTAACTCGACTTAAAATTTTTTCATGGTTCAGAAAATGGCGGTGATGACGGTGAAGATATAGCTGAAGAGGAAGCTGTGTGTAGGATTTGTCTGATTGAGCTATGTGAAGGAGGTGAGACGCTGAAGATGGAATGCAGTTGCAAAGGTGAACTTGCATTGGCTCACCAAGAATGCGCTATCAAGTGGTTCAGTATCAGGGGTAACAAGACATGTGATGTGTGCAAGCAAGAAGTTCAGAATCTCCCTGTCACTCTCTTACGCATCCAAAATGTTCAAACTCAGAATACCGGAGCAAGGTCTCAGCAGGAAGACGACTTCAGGCATGTGCAGTTATTTTCATTTGATAAAAACTATTACTCGTATGCTTCGTTTGAGATATATGCATATCTTGAGATCTTATGGGCAACTTCTTTAATGGCATATTATTTATGAAATATCTAAAATATGAGGCCAACCAAACTAGTTTACTTTCATGCACTATAGCATTATTGCGTAACGAAATTTGATCAAACCGCTATTCCCACGATCTATGATCTGCTTGTATTGAAGTTGTAGATTTCAGTTTACTCTTCAGAATATTATCATGTAGTCAATTTTGTTTTGGGATTTCTGCGGTCGATACAAGTGCATTGGTTTATAAATGGAATATAGCGTTCTCTTTGTATCTTTCTTGTACTAAAAGTAATTGCTACCGGTAACACTTCAATTTTTGGGTATTGCTTGTGAATTAAAATGTTTTGATAGACTCGGGTTTAGCTGCAAAAGGTAGGTATTTATTCCTTAGCACAAATATGCAAGAAATGCTTTTTACTCTTGCCAAAATTTGAAATAGGGAATCTTGAAACTTTTGATGTTCGAATGTTCTACAAAAGTGAAGTTCCCCAATGCTTTATTTTTTTCTAATGCTAAGTTTCTCAAAAGTGAAGTTCCTCAATTGACTTATTTGTATACTATGATAGTTACAGGAATTGATAGATAATGCAGCAGCAAGTGCTCGATCATGGATAGGAAGAGCTAAAGAAGCAGCAAGACATGGTAACCACTGTTCACCTAAATTTTTTTGCTCATTTTATTGAGTTATACTTAGTTTGTTTTATCCCATTTTACTGAACCTTTCTTCTTTTTTCACCTTTACAAATGAAAATACTGCTGCAGTACTAAACTAAAGGAATATATCATTTACAGATCAAAGAAGATTAGAGAAATTCGTGAATGTTGAAGGAATGATACCCTCATTAAGAGACCCGGAGCGCTTTAGTTTTTGGGTGATTATTCCATGTGATTTAAAGTTTTTACTTTGTTGGTAAAAACAACAGCATTTGCTGTATTTATTGCTATGTACTAATTGTATCATGATTACAGTTGGCTACCCTCTCCAATCGGAGGCCTTCAGAAAGATTGGAACTCCTACGCATTAGAGATACCAAAGAGGTAATGAGTCATTGTTAGAAAGTTGAATTTTAGTAGCATTAGAAAGTTATTTTTGTTAAATTCAGGCTAGTAAGAAAGAAAGTTGAACTGTGTGATGCTTGTATAGAATAACAAGTTCTTCCTTCATTTCTTTTGAAAAAGGAGGAAGTTGAGAAAACATGAGGGTTGGCCTAGCGGTAAAAGCTTAGGTCCTGAGAGCGTGCTCCTCTCAAGTTCTCTGGTTGTAATTTTGCTAGGTACAAACAATTCATGTACTAAGTGTCACTTTTTCTTTGGTTTGTTTGCAGCAAGGAGTGGATATCAATGCAATCGATAGAATTTTGCTTCAATCTTCAAAGCCATTTCTTCACACTAATGTTGATTGCAATGCATTATTTGCTGCTGTGGTCAGCAGGCAGATAAATGTTGTTAAACTCCTTTTGCAGGTTGGTGTAAGACTTGATATCAAGGTCAAATTAGGAGCTTGGTCTTGGGAAACAGATACAGGAGAAGAATTCCGTGTTGGTGTCGGACTAGCCGAGCCTTTTCCAATCACATGGTGTGCTGTAGAATATTTTGAATCCACTGGCACTATACTCAACATGCTTCTCCATCACCTCTCACCTAATAGTTTTCACATGGGAAGAACTCTCTTGCACCACACCATCATTTGCAACAATGAAAGAGCATTGAATGTACTTCTGAATAATGGGGTTGATACAGAATTGGCCCTTCAAACTACTGAAGAAGAAACCAATCTATACCCTATTCACATGGTTGCACGCCTCGGACTATGCAACATTCTTCAATGTTTGATTAATGGTAACTGTAACTTGGACTCGCAAACAAAACTTGGTGACACGGCGTTGATGGTTTGCACAAGGTATAAACATGAGAAGTGTCTAAGAGTTTTAGTATCATCAGGAGCTGATTTGGGGATAGTAAATTCGTTTGGTTATTGCGCAACTTCAACATCAACTTCTATTCATTGGACTAAAGAATATCAGAAAGCAGTTTTGGATATAATTAGAGCCAGAAAGGTTGTTAAGTCTAGCAATGCGTCTAGATTTTCATCTTTGTTATTCGTCACTCACGCGAATGACATAGAGGCTTTGAAAAAAGTCGTTGAAAACAGAAACATAAATCTAGATGAGCAAAATGAGAGTGGATTTTCAGCTGTCATGATATCTGCTTCAGAGGGTAGCGTGGAGGCATTCAAGTTGCTTCTTCATGCTGGAGCTGATGTAACCAATCTTAAAAACAAAGATGGTTTAACAGCTCTAGATATCATAGATTTGAAACAAAATGGTGAAGATGGTCATAAGGTGATGTTTGAATATGCACTTAAAAAGGGATGTTTGAATATTAGTACTTTAGCCGAAGCGAATACTCTTCACCGTGCAGCTTGTTATGGAGATATAAACATGGTTGAAAAACTACTAAAGGAAGGGAATTACGATGTGAATGGTTTTGATGAAAATGGATATACACCATTGATGTTAGCTGCCAGAGAAAGTAATGGAGAAATGTGTGGCCTTTTGATATCTCATGGAGCAAAATGTGATATTAAGAATGAAAGACATGAAACAGCACTTTTACTTGCAAGAGAAAAAAATTTGAAAGGAAATGATGCAGAGAATGTGATCATGGATGAGTTAGCTAGAAGAGTAGTATTGTGCGGTGCGCGTGTGAAGAAACATACAAAATGTGGTAAAGGACTTTCATGAATTTTGTAGAATATTGAAACATTTTTTGTAATTCTCTCAAGTTGTAGCAAACCAATGTAAATATTAAAATGAAATTTGGCCTTTGATGATATTTGAATTTTTCTTGTTTATTGGTAAAATTTGCACTTCTTTTTACCTTTGATCACATTTTTTTGATATTATTGATGATTATTTGATATTAAATGTTTTTAATGTAATTAACTTTATTATGTTGAAAAGTGAGAGAAAATAAAATAAAAATACTATAAAAAAAAATATTAAAGTAAATAATAATTTAAATATAATAGTAAAATATTATAGTAAAATAATATTATATTTAAAATTATTTTACTAAATAATAATTTAAATAAAAATATTATTTGAAATTTATAAATCAGATTACGACGGTTAAAACCGCCGCAATTTCTAACCTACGGCGGTAGAATAACCGTCGCAAACAACAACAAAAACAAAAAATAAAGTCAAATTCACGACGGTATATAACCGTCGCTATCTGTTGTGCGTGACAGTTTTTGCAACCGTCGCGAAATAGGCTGGGGACGCACGATTCTGCGACGGTACTTCTACCGTCGTAGATTGTAAATTGCGACGGTTTTAACCGTCGTAATCAGCCAAAATAACCGTCCCAATCTATCATTTTTCTTGTAGTGTATAATGTCCAAATTCATAACTTCTTGCGAGTTCATTTTTTGAACTTGGGGTGTGAATATGTATTGTAGGGAATTTCATCCTCTTAAAAATGAGCTTTGGATGGGTCATTTCTTATAAAGTATGAGAAAGTTATGCTTGGTCAAAGTTGAGTTGACTTTTCCTACAAAACCCTAATTTAGCAACTTTTGAGTCTTGATGAATTTTGAGCAATCCTTGATGAATCATGATCAACCCCTGATAAAATGATGAAATATCCTTCAAAATGAGAATGTTTACAAAAAATCTTGAAATTTGACTGTTTTTAGGTCACAGTTGACTTTTGCCCTAGCACAATCGATTTTTGGACCCTTTGAGCAATTGACTGAGCAAACTTCCTCTGCAAGGCTTGAAACTTGACATGGATAATCTTGAGAAAATATTAGGACATTGGTGAGAAATTGGAGTCATTTGGACTCATGGATCTTGATGCAACACAAAACCCTAATTTGGGGTTGACTGCCTTAGGAGATAGCTTGTCTGACCAACCCTTGAGCAACCTTGAGCAACTTGGAGATTTTTCTTGCAATATTTTGAGAAATATGGGAGGGAAAATTTTGGGGTACAACAGCTGCCCCTGTTCAATCTTCTTAAACCTGGGGATGTAGATTGGCTTTCATGCCTTTCGTGATTCGAAGGTGGAAGATGATTGAACACTAGAGTGCCCAGAAATTTGCACTCGCATGAAGTGGTATCAGCCTTGTGATGTCGGGAATGGGTTTACAGATGCCATTTGGAGGTTGCTGGCGGGAGGACGGGCTTAAAGATGCCATCTGAAGGAGTGTCGATCGCATAAGGGATTCCTTAGCGAGAGCTCGCATACCTGTTGTTGTAGAAGATTCCGCTAGGGAAGTCTGATCTTGCTGAGATTTAGGAACTTGCCTGTACTTCAACTGAGAGAACATCTCTGCTGAGTTTTAAGAACTTTTCCATAATTCAAATGGGGGGAAACATCTTCATCGAGATTTAAGAACATGCCCGTAATTCAACCGAGAGAACTCTGCTGAGATTTAGGAACTTGTCTGTAATTCGACGGAGGAACTTGTTGAGATTTAGGACCTTATCTGTAATTCAACTGAGGATAATTCGGTTGAGATTTAAGAACCGGTCAGTACTTCGACTGAGGGAAACATCTTCATCGAGATTTAGGACCTGTCTGTAATTCAATCGAGGATAATTTTGTTGAGATTTAAGAACTGTCAGTAATTCGACGGAGGAACTTTGTCGAGATTTAGAACCTTACATGTAATTCAACTGAGGATAATTCGGTTGAGATTTAAGAACCAGTCAGTAATTCGACGGAGGAACTTTGTCGAGATTTAGAACCTTATCTGTAATTCAACTGAGGAAAATTCGGTTGAGATTTAAGAACCGGCCAGTACTTCGACTTTTAGGGAAACATCTTCATCAAGATTTAGGACTTGTCTATAATTCAACCGAGGATAATTTCGTTGAGATTTAAGAACTGTCAGTAATTCGACGGAGGAACTTGTCGAGATTTAGAACCTTATATGTAATTCAACTGAGGATAATTCGGTTGAGATTTAAGAACTGGTCAGTAGTTTGATTTTTAGGGAAACATCTTCATCGAGATTTAGGACTTGTCTGTAATTCAACCGAGGATAATTCCGTTGAGATTTAAGAACTGTCGGTAATTCGATGGAGGTAAAAGCTTTATAGCTTTGAATTTAACTGCATCCTTCCTGAAAGGTAAAGGTTAGTTGTATGTAATGCATGATATGTATCAAACAATGATGTTCTCAAAATAAATGAGATTGTTGTATGATGCATATATGCATGTATCATGATGTATGGAAATGTAATGTCTTTAGCTGGGGAAAATAAATCCCGGATAGCTGCTGGAGAAAAAGAGTTGAATTCTTCGTTTTCGCTGGGGATGGCGAACGGAGATGACTGTGAGAATAAACCTGCAGGAGAGGACAACTCCGTTGGGGAATAAATTGATGAGGAGATTACTCTGTGGGGAAGAGATGCTCTACTGAGGATTCCACTGATAAATTCTGTTGGGGATGAATTACCATTGCTGGTGGTACTGAATCCTGTTGGGGATTGAATTCCTGTCTGTGAAAGGAAAGAACTCCGTTGGGGATAATCTTCCAAAGTTTACTGGGGAAGCTTTTCAGACTGCGCTGGGAAAAATTTTAGACTCCACTGGGGGATATTTTGCATTCTGCCGGGGAATATTCTTATACTCCGCTGGGGAATATTAAGACCTTTCAGTGTTGATGGTAAATAAGCTCTGCTTGGGGAGAATATTACCGATTCATTGTTGTGAGTCTCAGTTTGGGAGAGCTATCATTACTGTCTTACTCTGCGAGGAGTGAAAGTACCTTAGCCATATTCTTCAGCTGAATCTACCTTTGTACCTGATGGATAAAGCAACTGTACAGTTTGGACAATTCTTATTTGCCCTCTGTTTCTGATATTACAAGTAATCATCTTTTGTTTTACATGTAATTATTTATGAGCATCAATTAATGTCAAATGCATATATCAAAAATGAACATTGGACGTTCTTTGCAAAACAAAACAGAAAAAGGACAAACAGTTTGAAATTTCTCTGAAAATGAATTGTATTGATTTTGAAGTTTGGCTTGTAAATAGGTGTTTTTGTACAAGAGGCTGACGTCCTAGTAAGAGAACGCCGCTGAATAATAGAATTTACACAATTTGTGAAAAACTAAACAAAACAGCTATGTGAATAATCCCACTGGGTTCCAACTCTGCTATTGCCTTTATATCCTTAAGCATCTCATCACTTTGCTACTCTGTTCAAGGTAGATCAGATTGATTAGTGATGTCTAAGCTTGATAGTCGATACCAAAGTCTGGTTGCAAGGTGATCCAATGAGACATAGTGTTACGCTTTAATCCCTAATTTTTGCCTGGACCGCCCTTTCGGGTTTTCAGTCCACCGGGATACCATTTTTTGCCCAAGCCTCCTTTTCAAGTTTTCGACTTGCCGGGTGTACAGATTTTTTTCATTTTCATCCCTTATTTTTGCCCGAACCCTTTTGATTCGCCAGGAAGCCCTTATTTTTTCCTATGCCAGTCGACCTAGCGGGTCGTTGATTATGCGTAGTATTTTTCACTATATCTGCATTGACGGGGTGAGGAAGATCGTCACCATCCATGGTGGTTAGAATCATAGCTGCTCCTGAGAAGATGTTCTTAACCGCAGATGGCCCTTCGTAAGTAGGGGTCCATTTGCCCCTGGGATCACCTTGAGGTAGTATGATGGGCTTGATGACTAGGTCCCCAACTTGATACTCTTGTCGTCTAACTTTCTTGTTAAATGCCTTGATCATCCGTTTTTGATACGTCTGACCATGACAAATAGCAGTAAGTCTCTTTTCGTTAATTAAGTTCAGTTGATCAAGTCGGGTCTGAATCCAGACATCTTTGCTCAAACCTGCATCCTTCATAATCTGAAGAGAGGGTATCTGAACTTCAATGGGCAATACGGCCTCCATGCCATATACCAAGGAATAAGGTGTTTCCCCTGTTAACGTCCGCGCTGAGGTACGATACCCATGAAGAGCAAACAGTAACATCTCATGCCAGTCTTTGTATGTCACCGTCATCTTCTGCACAATCTTCTTAATGTTCTTATTATCCGCTTCTACAGCCCCATTCATCTTCGGCCGGTATGGAGAAGAGTTGTGATGCTGTATCTTAAACTTCTTGCAGAGCTCGGTGATCATCTTATTGTTGAGATTTGTACCATTATCCGTAATGATCCTCTCTAGTACACCATATCGACAGATCAGATTATGCCGAATAAACCGTGCTACGAATTTCTTGGTTACAGTAGCAAAGGAAGTTTCTTCAACCCACTTTGTAAAGTAATCAATTGCTACCAGGATGAAACGATGCCCGTTGGATGCCGTAGGTCTGATCTCTCCGATCATATCTATGCCCCACATTGCAAAAGGCCAAGGTGCTGTCAAGACGTTCAGAGGAACTGGAGGTATGTGCACCTTATCAGCATAGACTTGGCACTTGTGACAGGTCCGAGAATGTTGATAACAGTCGGCTTCCATTGTAGACCAAAAATATCCTGCCCGTAGGATTTTCTTTGCCATGGTGTGTCCACTGGAATGAGTTCCGAAAGTACCTTCATGTAACTCTGCCATGATCCTTTCTGCTTCATTCTTTTCCACACAACGCAGTAAGGTCGAATCATGGTTACACTTGTAAAGAATGCCATTGCTGATGAAGAACTTCGCTGCGAATCTTCTCAGAAACTTCTTATCGTTAACAGATGCACCCTCAGGGTATTCTTGAGCCTCA